AGAGAGAGAGAGAGAGAGAAATAAAAGGATAGAAAAGGGGCCTTTTTGATTCCTTTCGGTCACATATCACCTAGGGACAACCAGTTTTCTTCTCTGTCTCCCCCTGCAGACTGGAAGCACCTTGAGGGCAGAGACGTCTGTGTGCCCTGGCCCTGCAGTGCCCACAAAGCATAGAGCTGGGACAGGCACCCAGCAGGGTCAAATGGGGGTCCACAGGCAGCAGTCAGAGCCCCTACAATCAGTTTCCACTAATGTCAAAGGAAGGGGCCCTCGTCTCTGGGCGTGGGTGGTTTGGACCATTTCACAGACTCGGACCTGCAGCCAGAGAGCATGAGGGCCCTGGCCAACCTCCAGCTGCGCAGAGCAGGCTTGTCGGGGTCCATTCACTGAACATACATTTACTGAGCGCTTACAGCTTATTTGGCAAGTTGCAGGTCAGCAGGGCTACAAGGAGCTGGGGGAGAGCGGCTAGAGTCCAGGTGGACCAGCTGGCGTTGGTGACAGGGCTCAGCGGCTGCGGTGGTTGTGAGAGTTCTTCTCCTGGCCCCCAGGGGGCAGCACGGGCTGCAGGGAGCTCAGAGCCCAGCCCAGTTCCCCAGCTATCCAGGAACCCAAGTCTCCCAGCTTACAGTTTTCAGGCACACCCGCTAATTGAGCAATTGCTGTGTGCCTGGCCCGGTGTTGGGAGGCGCAGGGCCACCACATGCCTGGGAGGACAGGGCGGTGGCCCCCAAGTGTCCAGGGGAAGTGGCCATGGCTGTTTCCTGCCCGCCCAGCTGGCCAGCTGGAGTCAGCAGCCCTCTACCCTCCCCCGCTGGGGTTTCCTGTTTGTGCTCCATCTCCGGGGGACTCCCTGGCAGGCGGGGAGGTCCTGATTTCCTCCACTAGCCGCCCACACTCCCCACGGGCCCAGGCCCAGCGCCTTCGCGGGCCCCCGCCTCCCCCCAAACATCTGGCTTGGAGGGCGGCGCCCGGGGCATCATGGGAGGCCAAGGACTCAGGTCACAGACAGCAGGACGGCCGAGTCACCAGGGGCCAGCGAGCAGTGGCTTGTGGGCCTGTGACCTCTGGAACCATCCGGCCTCCCTTGCATGGAGATGGCCTACTCTCTTGCTTTCCTTCCTTCCTGTCTTCCTTCTCCTCTCTCCTCCTTCCTCCCCATGATGACCTCCTCTCTTGTGGCTCCCCTCACCTCTCTCTACCTCATCCTTCCTCCTCCGTTCCTTTCTGCAAATACTAATGGAGCACCCATAGTGTATCAGCCTCAGGTCTAGACACTCAGAGCACAACAGGGATCAAGACAGACAAAAATCCCTGCCCTCGAGGAGCTGATGTTCTACTGGGGAGAGACAGACCACCACCCACTAAGCAAATCCATAGGCAATCGCTTCCTTTGAAAGGGGGGTGGGGGAATGGTGTGGCTAGGGCTCCTAGAGGTACAGGGTTCAGGGAAGAATTTTTGAAAAAGGGTCGTTTGAACTGAGACCTGGGGAGATCTGGAGAGTGAGCGACCAGGTAGCTGTCCGGCAGAGGGCACAGCCTGTGCAAAGCCCTGGGGCAGGATGTGGCCTGGTGAGCTGGACGTACCGCAAGGAGGACTGTGTTGCTGGAGTGAGTGAAGAGGGGAAGGGAGGAGCAGAGGGCAGGGAGGGGACAGGGCAGGTGGTGCAGGGCCCTCCCCAGGACTCGGGCTCTTACCCGGAGGGAGGTGGGAGCCCTGGAGGGCTGTAGGCGGAAGAGGGATGAGCCTGACTCAGGTGCTCACTGGCGCCCTCTGGCTGCCATGGAAGGATCAGACCGTGAGGTGCAGGTGACTGCTGGTCCAGGCGGGGATGACAGGGCTGGAGCAGGTAGAGGCAGGGCCTTTGCAGCCCACCTCAGAATCCTCCAGGTCTCTCTTGCTCCTCAGGAAAGTTCTCCCACTTGCCACCTCTAACCACAGGGAACTAATTAATCTGAACTGACTTGTCTTTCTCTGGGAGCTCAGGGTTCAAACCCCGGCTCCCCCTGGGAAGGCCCCTTAACCTCTCAGAGCCTCAGTTTCCACCTCTATAAAATGAGGACCCAGCAGTATAGCTACCCCATAGTGTGGTGAGGAATGAATGAACTAATTAAACTTATGAGGTACTCCTACCACGGCCTTGCACACAGGCAGTGCTAATAGACATTTGCTAAGCAGTGGGGGAGGGGCCGTGTCCCCACCCCGCTCCACCCCACACTCACCCAGCGTGATGGGCTTGCTGTCCTCCTGGTCGGAGCCTATCCCCGTGCGAGGGCTGCCGCTCTGCTCCGCGTCTGCAAATAGAAGGAGGAGTTAGTGACATGTTGGTGTTGAGTCGATCACTGCTCATGGCGAGGCCATGTGACAGAGTAGAACTGTCCCGTAGGGTTTCCTAGGCTGGCATCCTTATGGCAGCTGATTGTGCCTCTGGTGGGTTCAAACTGCCAACCTTTTGGCTAGCAGCTGAGTGCTTATCTAGTGTGTCACCAGAGCTCGTTTCAGTTGGTGACATGGCATCCTGCCGAGGAGGGGAGTCAACACTAGCGGCTTAGGCTGGGCTGGTGGCTGTGGACATGCCTGTGGTCCAGGAGGTGGCTAGGGTGTGGGCTGGGGCCCCCAGGAAGGGTATGCACACTCATCCATACGTGGATGCACGCAGGCCTGGTGGGGGCACACCCATGTGCACACTGCAGCGTGTGACCTCCTGTACACACCGTGGGCAGGGGCGGGGTCAGTCGTGGGTACGAGTTCAGGTCCGACAGACCAGGTTCAAATCCTGGCACTGCCACATTCTGATGGTACAGACCTGAGCAGATCCCTTCCTCTCTCTCTGAGCCTCCGTCTGCCCATCTGTGAAATGGGTGCTAACCTGCTGCACAGGGACCCCTTCAATCACGCTGCCCCCCTATGAAGGAGAAGCTGTCATTATGCCCATTTTACAGACGGGGAGACAGAGGGCCGGACAGGTGAGTTCTGGTACCCGCCCTCCCCTCAGCCTCTGCCCTGCCTCCCTCTAGCCCTCAGTCTGCAGTTGCCATTCAGAACCCATCAGGAGCGGCCCTCTGAGGCTGCGACCCCCCACCTGCCCGCATGGCATGGCGGCTCCCTGCACACTGGCGCCCGCCCCTCCATCTTATCTAAAAATAATCAGACTCCTTGGCGGTGGAGAGAAGCAGACGCTGAGCTCAGCATTATCGGCACCAGCAGCCTGGAAGCAGCGGGAGCCATGCTGGCCTCCTCTGCAGCCCCCATCCCCCACCCTGGGCCAGGGTGGGCCACAGGGGCAGGCTCGCTGGGCAGAACCCCTCCCCCACCTTTTAACCTCCAGCCCCTGTGTGTTCCTCGAGCCAAAGACAAAGGTGTTGGGAATCACCATCAAATGGCACAGAAAGAGAACCCAGCCCCAAAGTCGGGATGTAATGGCTGTGTGACCTCAGAGAAGTGGCTTTCCTGCTCTGATCGTCCACTTTCCCCCTCTGCCAAATGGGCCTGTATTGGGTCACAGCAAGGGGTCACACAAGGTGCTCAGCCATACTGCACGCTCGGTAAACGGTGTCCACGGCATTAGTGTTATTATTGCTGTTTTCAAATCCTTCATATAACCTGCCTGGTGATCATGACGCGGGCACAGGGCCAGGCAAAGTTCTGTTTAGTGAGTCGGGTCGACCCAACAGCAACTAGCAAACTGACCTGCAGCTTTGGCCCGGTTACTGCTCCCACTGCATAGACAAGGGCAACCGAGGGTGGGACGGTGAACAACGCTCCCCCGCCCACTGCACCATCTCAGCCACCCGTGTGCAGGCTCTGCATCCAACACACAGCGCACGGGCCACTGCCTTCTGGGATCAGGCGCCTGAGTTCAGAGCCCGGCTCTGCTGTGTGGCCCTGGACAAGGACCTCAGTTTCCTCGTCTCTGAAACGGGCTGCTGATAGTGGTGGCCCAGTAGGGCTGGAATGGGATGGTAACAGTGATGATGCTTTCTTTCCAAGAGTCCTGGGAACCTTGGCGTTTGCTGGGCACCGTGCTGGCGGCTTTGCACACACCATGTGCCAAGGAACCCGCTGCCTGTCTCTCTGAGGATGCTCAAAATACCACTGTACAAGAGCCCGTGCCTCAGTTTCCTGCTCCGTGATGGGGCGGGTAGGGGCCGGCCGCTTCTCCTTGGCCCTGCTTTGCAGCCCAGTGGGGCTGGCTGAGCTGGGCTGGGCTGGGCAGTGGCCGAGAGGAGCGTGCCCAGCTCGGCCCCGCGCCCTACGAGCACTCCTGTCCGGGCAGCAAGTACCTGTCGGAGGCGGCCAGTCCCGCTTGGACGGCCACGCGGCTGGGCACGGTGGCCACTCTGTTGGGAAGGGCCCAGCCCGGGCAGCCAGCCATCTGGGCTCCAGGCTGCAGGCATGGGACCCTCTTCCGGAACCAGCGGGCACACAGTTGCAAAAGGTGCTGGTGCCTGGCGGGCACTTGAGCACTTGATTGGGCCAGATGGACAGACTGATGGGAAGGGATTTTCTTGAAGACCTACTGTGTATCAGGCCACCATGGTGGTTCCGAGCACAGGCTATGTAGCCTCAGACCTGGCACCTCACCTCTCTGGGCGCCTCACTGTCACCTGTACAATGGGTACAACTACAGCAGTGTTAAGACCCTGATGCAAAGTCCTGATGAAGGAAACACAGTGCCGCCCAGTGGCTGGCTGGGGTCAAGGCCCCACCAGTGGCTGGGTGTTTTCATTACTGCTGTTACTTGGGATTATACAGCGGTTGCTTCTTACTGATGTGGCTATTTTGTATCAGTTCAGAGCTGGGGCCATGCCCTTGCTTTGGCAGATGGGAGTTTCAAGTCCTATTCCTTTGCTCAGTCAACTCCAGGGTTTCTGGCCAGATACACGACCTCTCTGAGCCTCAGTCTGCCCGTTTAGAGAAAGGGGGTGGGCAACAGAAATCACCACCCAGGTTTGCTGGGAGGCTTAAGTCAGGTAGTCAGTGCAAGGGCTTGTCACCAAAATCACACTCAAAATGCGGCTGGTTTTTGGAGCAGTGATAAAACGATACTGTGTTTTTAATTTTGGTTTCCGATTGTTCATTGAAGCATATATAAACAGGAATGAGTTTTGTGCGTTGGACATTGCTGGACTCACTAACTCTAGCAGCTTTTCTTCTTCTTCTTCTTACAACTTCTGGCATTTTCTAAATCCACCATCCTGCCATCTGCAAACAGCAGTGCCATTTGTATCTGCCTTTGATTTCCTTTTCTTGCCTTATTCCAGTGGCTAGGACTCCCAGCAGAGTCCGTGGGTGGCATTAACATTAACATTAACACACTGGGCTGCTCACTGAAAAGGTGAAAGTTGGAATCCACCAGAAGTGCCTTGGAAGAAAGGCCTGGCCATCGACTTCTGAAAATGCAGCCATTGAAAACCCTTTGGGGCGGAGTCCCGCTCTGACGCCACACACACACACACACACACACACAC